TCGCTGCTCTTCTCCCTCCCTTTGCAGCAGCTGGGGCACGTCCCACCAGGTATGACCCCCACGGGGTAGAGCCTTGGCACACGGGCCAGCTATCACCAGCAGATCGAGGGTGCTATCCCCAACCACGTCAGTTCCCGGGATACCTCGCCTAATGGGGACCACTTACAGAGGAGGAACCGGTACCCACGGGTGATGCTGTGCCCGGTGTCACCCACTGCCACCAGCCCTTCAGGCAAGGTGGTCCTGGCAGCAGGATCTCTAATGCAGATGAGGCCTGGCTGGTTTTATGCTCACACACTGTGGTTTGCTCTGGGCAGGGTTATTTGGCACAGCAGTTCAAAGCAGCCATGCCCATCCCCTCGGAGGCGTGGGGAAGGATGCTCCGGGAGAGGTGCTGGGCAGTGGTGGCAGAGATGCTGCCAGACAGGCTTGGGCGCTTCCTGCTTCACTGTGTGCGACGCTGAGCTCTCGCCAGGTTCTTTCCATGCAGCAGTGCTGCTGGTGGGACATAGGGCTGCTGATGAGTTCGGGCCGCTCCGCTGGCAGTGCAGAATGGTGTGAACGCAGATACAGAGGGAGAGAGACAGTGCAGAAGGAGGAGAAGTCGGATGGGAAGGAGTTTGCCAACCAGACACGGCACGGAGTGCACCCAGCTGTTTGTGAATCCATCTGGGAAAGAAACTTCTGTGCAGGTCCCAGGGCAGATAACCCTGTGCAGGTGAGAGCTTTGGCTGCGAGAACAGTGTGAGCAGGTTGTCACCCCCATGGGGCAAGGTCTGCCCTGAGTTATTACATGTTGTGCCAGGGGTTCGTGGCAAGTGGTGTGCGCGAGGTGTCCGGCTGCCTGCAGAACGTGTCCCATGCCTCTAAAGGGTGATGGGCTCTTTGCCTTTAATCCGGGTAGGGACCTGTTTGCAGAGAGGGGTGAGTAACAGCCCAGGAATTTCGATGAGCTGGCAAAACTTATTTGGCCGATTGCCTTGTCCTGTTTGTGCTGTGGTTCTGGCCAGCCTGGCATTTTGCATCCAGCAGATCATCTCGTGTGCATGTCAAAGAAAGCCCTTCCTCTCTGCGCCATGTGTACCCTCTTGCTGTCTTCGCTGTATCACGAAGCAGAAGAAAATTAATCTAGAGACTATTTAGGAGCACCGTTGGTACTGCAGAGAGCTGTAGTTGACTGCAGGGGGATGAGACAGGAGCTGTTGCTGTTGGGGATTTGGCTGCGGAGCTTGCTGTGTCTCACTGGGAGTTGAGGGAGCCTGGCTCCAGCGCAGGAGAGCTGCTCTGCTCGCTCTGGTGAGTGTGCATCGGATGCTCAGGTGTCAGCTTTGGTTTTTCCCCAGGCTTTTGTATGAAACCAGCTGAAATGGTGTTTCAAAGGCACAAGGGAGCAGCTGCATAGAGTGCTCCTGCATGTGCTTCCCTGTGATATAGCCACAGGGAAGCCTTCTGAGGGAAGATCGGTGTATTTTGGGGTTGCCTTGGTGTGCTGTCCGCTTTGAACCTGCAGATCAACAGACTGCAATACATTTTTCGTATCAGAGAAGTGTAAAGGCTCTGAAGATGAAGTCCTATCATAGGCTGGTAGGAAACAAGGCTTAAAAAGATGTGGGAGTGAGGCTTTGTTCAGATCCAGGGCTGGAGCTGGGTGCTGTAATAACAGAGTAGTTTCCTTGGGGTGAGGGGCTGTGAGGATAACAGCCTGTGCTCTAGCACTGGATGGGATTTGCCAAATGGCTGGCTGAAGGTCTGCTTTTCCGTCCAACTAAGCTCTGTGTCCTCTTTCCCCAGGGACTGTCACTAGCCCATCCGTTGCCCTGACTCTTGCCCTTGGAGGAAGCCAGTCATGGGGGAAACAGGCAAAGAAGAGTACAAAATACAGTCCTTCGACACTGAGACTCAGAAGCTGCTGAAAACAGCCCTCAAAGGTCAGCAGGCTTTTACTAGCTCCTCTGCCACGCACAGCTTGGCTGGCAGATGAGGCTGAATGCTTGGACTCCTTTAAGGAACACCAATTGCTAAGTGTAGAAAAGCAGTTTCATAAATTCTGTTCATCACTGAGGGGGTCCCATTGGTGAATCTTCTCTGGGAAGGTCTTTTCTCCCTGCCTCTTCTTGCCCCCTCTCACCTTCTCCCCAGTGTTTAATGGCACAGCTGTTCAAACTCAGCTCCTGGTTTTCAACACTGGGGTTTTCTCTGATTTCGGAGTACGCTCCTCTCCTGCTCTAACCCAGCATCTCTCCCCAGACCTGGCCTCTCACCCCTCTCCAGTGCTTAGTTCCTGTTCTCTGTCCCTCCCTGCTGCAGGGCTGTCTCGTCCTCCCAGCCCCCAGGGTCTCTTGCTCGCTCCTCACGTCTCTATTCAAAACTCAGCAGGAGTTTGCACATCTAGCTCTCACTAACCCAACTTTGAAGCAGTGCTGGGATTTCAGATTCAGATCATCTTCTTGCTTCCCATACTATCTGCTTTCCTCCATTGCTTTCCCATTGTGATGGCTGCGTCTCCAGCCTGTGAGGACCATGCACTGTTGGAGATGGTATCTCCAAAGCAGCTGATGTGCAAGAGGGGCTGGTGACTTTTGATGTGGGAGTGAGCATGAGGTTTTGCACCATATGACATGGTTGTACCAGGCCCCACAACAACCTTCTTAGTTTTCCCGGTACCCCAAAGCAAGCAGGGCACAAAGGGTGCTGGGTCCTGACCGTGCTTCTCCTCTCTGCAGACCCCAGCAACGTGGACCTGGAGAAAGTGGCCAATATCATAGTAGACCAGTCCCTCAAAGACTGTGTGTTCAGCAAGGAGGCAGGGCGCATCTGCTACACCATCATCCAGGTAAGAGCTCCTCATGTCTGGACAGTGAAACGCTTACGCTGTGTGGGTTGTCCCTAGCCTGGGCCAGGAGAGGCTTCACCCCAGCCCTGTGCTCTGACCCCTCAGCCAGCTTTCCTCTTCTGCTGCTTGCTCTGTGCAGTGGCAGCATCCAGATGAGCAGCCGATGAGCACAGGCAGTTAGTTGCAGGTTTCCTGCCTCTCCTGGGCAATCACAGGAGGGTAGCTGCATGGTCCTGCATCACTCAAGTAGCAGAATCCCCCTGCTCCTCTCACACCCCCATTTCATCCCTCCATCCTGCTTTTGTGGGTTTGTAGGCAGAGAGCAAACAAGTTGGCCAGAGCATCTTCCGGAGGAGCAGCTGCAGCAGGAGTACAAGGACAGGGAGGAGCTGCGCACTCGCTCGCTCCAGGCCTGGATCTGCTACGTCACCTTCATCTGCAACATCTTCGACTACCTGAGGGTAAGGAGCCGGAGCAGGAGCACCCGGCTGCTGCCGCCCAGGGGTGCCAGAAGGGCCTGGGCATCCAAAGATGCCAGGGCAGGGGTGTTGGATGGGTGTTGTGCGGAGCCCCAAGGCTGTGGCTTGGCAATCGGGGCTGGAGTTGGTTCTTAGCACGAGGATGCTGCCGGGGCTGGTGCTACCTACAGGCAAGTGAACAGGCTTGGAGAAGCAGAGCTGTCTCTGGGAACAGTCACAAAGTCTGAGCTTCCTCATTTTGTACCTGGTGTCTGAAATCCCCTGATTTGCCTGCTCTCAAATGGACCAGATTGAACCAGTTTAGTTGCTAAGAGGTCCTGGGGGGGACCCGTGGACGCTGACGTAATTTCTAGCCCACATCCTGACAGTGTTTGTCTGCAAGCCTTCACTGCAGTGTGTGTACTTGGATGCCTGCATGGAGTAGATGTAAAAATTATGCAAGCAGAGCTGCAGATAGGAAAAATGCTGTTGCAACAAGTATATTTCTCATGACTACCTGCTTACATTTAAAAACAAATGTTTTTTACATCATTTGTTCAGCTTCTCTGGCTTCTGGAGACTCAAACGTCTGGTCTCCTACGTAAATCCCACCAATACGGCATTTGGCAGCCCAAGTAAATTCTGCTCCCTTCTCCTTTGAAAAGCAGCACAGGAACAACTATTTAAAGTCGCTGTAGACTCCTCCCTTTCTGGCCCCAAGCTGACAATGGCTCCTGCCTCCTTACAGGTGAACAACATGCCCATGATGGCTCTGGTGAACCCCGTTTACGACTGTCTGTTCCGGCTGGCACAGCCCGACAGCCTGCAGAAGGAGGAAGAGGTGAGTGCAGGGAAGAGGGCTGCTAACGCGCCTGTTGTCCTGCCAAGGACTGGCAAAATCACTGGTCTTTCTAAGAGCTTTAGTGCATGTTCCACACTTCCCTCTGTTCTTGGAGGCACCTCCTTACTCTGACCTTGGCTTCAGCCTTGCCATCATCTCTTGGAGACCCTGCAGGAAATTAACATTTTTTTTTCCCCCTTTGCGGGTGCATTCCTCTGGTAATTTTGTCTGAGACACAGGGGAGTTCAGGATGTGCTTTTCCAGTGCTTTTGCCAGAAGAGACATTCTGCTGCTTCTGCCTCCTGGATCACAGCGACTTGGGGGAAGCAGAACTGTCACCTGTTGGAAATCCAGAACATAGGGAACAGGACGAGTTGGTCCATAAGCGACTGATGGGGACCTCCACAGAGACGTGCCAAAGCTTTCCATTCCTTTGTACTCAGCCATCTTCTCTTCCTTCTGAAGGTGGACTGCTTGGTCCTACAGCTCCATCGCATCGGCGAGCAGCTGGAGAAGATGAACTCCCAGAGGATGGATGAGCTCTTCTCCCTCCTCCGAGATGGCTTCCTTCTGCAGGAGGGGCTCAGCTCCCTGTCCCAGCTCCTGCTGCTGGAGATCATCGAGTTTCGAGCTGCCGACTGGAAGATGACGGACGCTGCCCAGAAATACTATTACAGCGAAGTGACAGATTAACCTCTATACAGTAGAGGTGGAGAGATGTCCCCAGCACTTTCACCAGCAAGCTTCATATCAAGTTTGAATTTCTTTTCAGATTAATGTTTTTCTAGCACTTCGTGTAAATAGGATTTATACTGGCTAGAGCCTCTGGGCACATAACTGTCAGGCTGCAACTGGTGCTAGCCTGATTTTGGAAGTTTGGAGAGGTGGGAAGGGCAGGGTATATTTAACTTGGCAAGTTCTCCCACCGATTTTGTCTAATATTGGGGTGCTGCCAGGAAAGGGCAAGGAAGGCTTCTAGCTCAAACCAGCATTTTATATGAGTGTTAAGAAAAGCAGAGTTTAGGCTGAGAACATTTTGGTTCACTCGAGAGCCAGCAGAGCTGCGGGAGGCAGAGGGGAAATCTTTCACAGCTCAGGTTGTACCTGGTTCTCTCTGGCACAAGTCACAGAAAACAGGGTTGCCTCACAAACAGCTCAACAAGTGCTAGTTTTTCCAGACTCCTAGCACGCTGGCTGCACCTGCATGCACACAGCCTCCCCCACAGGTTGCCAACCACCAATACCTGCCACAGGGCAGCCTGCAGCAGGACAGGTCCCTGAGCACATACAGCTAGGAACAGGTTTTATAAGTTTTATACAGTAACTGTCATGCTTTTTTCAGAATTTAGCGAGGTTCAACTATAGTATGTTTCTTATAAGAATGAGGAAGAAAGGAAACAAAATAGTCTATTGAAGGATTTTTTTCTAATAAAAGTTTTCCACTAACACGTGCCCTGCTTTCTCTACTGCGGAGCTATGAACAATACTTAAAGGTTGCTCTTGACTGAAGGCTTAGGGCTGCGATACTCACTTTATCTGCTGGTGTAGGGCGTCAGCGTGGCTTTACACAACCAGGGTAGTAGGAAAGAGCAGTGTGAGATTTGAGCAACAGAGACAAAGGTTTGGAACTGAGAAACCTTCCCCATAAAACTGGTTTTATTTTTTCGGTTAACATTCCCATCAAATCTGTGCAGACAATGTTGCTGACGACCAGAACCAAAAATCAAAAAGGGCCTTTTATTGCCTTTTGTACCAATCACGCTAAGGCTGGTTATAGTATGGAAAAATATCCAGCTATGCTCTTAGCTGTGCAGCCAAAAAGGGAAAAACATTGCTGATTACGGGAGCAGAGAGACTTAAAAGTCACCAGGAAACAGGTAAGTAAGTGGAAGATTATTTTGTCCAGCATTGCTCTAAGAAAAACATTTCAGGCTTCTCTTCACAGGAAAGTGATTATGAAATAACTAGGGCACCTGTGCAGGGGTGGGTAACTCTGTCAGATTCCCCCTTCCCTCATCCAAACAAGCACAAAGGAAATTAACTTTGTGGGGATCAGATGGGCTGGCCCTGGCTTAATTCGGAAGCTGTCTGGAAGGAATCTTCCACCTTTCCTACTTCTCCCAGGCAGGGGGCCCTGGGGCTCTGCTCTCCAGGCCATGGGGCTGGTGGCATCGTGTCCCATGCACGGAGTCCCTACCACCAGCGGAAGTGGGCGTAAGCACGGTTGGCCTCTGCCATCTTGTGCAGCACATGCTTCTTCTTGATGATGGGCCCTTCGTTGTTGAAGGCCTGGAGCAGCTCCTGGGAGAGCTTCTCGGGCATCAGCATCCGACGGTTCTTGTTCTCCCTGCACTCCGTGATTAACCACTTCATGGCCAGGAAGCGCTTCCGATTGTCCTTCAGAGGGACCGGGACCTGGGAGAGGTTTAAACCGTAAGTTATTGCACTGCGAGGGTGCAGTAACCTGCTTTTCTCCAGCGGTCATAAAGGTCCAGCTGGACATGTCCAGATGTACACCGTGCTATGACTCCAGTCGCAGCATGCTACTCTCTGCAGTAAGACCAGCTCCCAACAGCTGATCTGTGCCAATTCACCTCCTCCGTCCATAGAAACTGGCCACTGCTACCAAAATAGAAATTCTGATCAGCCTTGGGTACTGCCAGCAGATGCTGGCCTTTGTAAGGACTTCTGGCCTATTTGGGAACTGGACCCAGGCTGGTTTGCGCTAGCAGAAGTAGGACACTGAATGACAGAGAAATGGCTCCACATCTCATTTCTCCATCAGGTCTTGAGTGTTGCAGAGCCCATCTTTAGAGACAGGTTCTGCTCATGTTTTAAATATTGCACTGTATCGGGTTGACCTTTTCTGCTATGCTGACCCGCCCCAGTAGGCCCAGGCCTGCTGATTCTTTTGCTGCCCATCACTGATCCCGCACTTCTTGGACAACATCTGCTGTGTACTCCTCTCTCATCTAGTCAGAGAAATAGAGACTGCTGCTGACAGGGGAACTGCCACGCTCACAGGCTAGGGTCCTGATCTTGGAAAGAGTTTCTAGGTGCTGTTTTAATCCAGATTGCAAAGTGGCTCTCTTCCCAAGGAGAGGAAAGCCTGAGCTGAAGGGGTGGAAAACAGTTCATCTGCTTCCCTAGCTAATTCTCTCCCAACCAGATGTGCTCCCAGACCCCTCTTTCACCTGGTAGGTTTTGCCTCCTTTTGTGATGCTGCTGAGCCCAATGATGGGCTGGCAGTTTTTCACAGCCTGATGGAAAATGACATAAGGGTTGCATTCGATTGTCTCCTTCTCATTTTCTGGAGCTTTGTGGTACTTCTCCAGCTGCCTCCTCTTAATGGCCTCTAGAGTCTTGGGACAAAGACAAGAAAGGAGACAGGCAGAGCAGATGGATTATCCCACTCCATGAAGTTACATCACTTCTACAAGCACCCCATTTTCACCTAAGCAGTTCGTTTTCTAGCCCTGTAGGCAACAGGCCAGTCAGGGATTCTCTGCCTCAAGTTTTACTTCACCCTCTTCCAGCTCTTCAGTCTCTTTATCAGACATTGCATTTGGGGTGAGTAGGCAGAGTAGCACAAACCTGGCCCAGAAGCCAGGGAAGGGCAGAGACAAAGTGGAGGCAGGAATACAGGACTGTGTGCACTAAGCATCCTCCCCCTCCAAAGCCTGGACTCAAGAGCCCAGAGCCCGTGTGTTTTTTCTGTCACAAGGAATCAGCAGTTACTTGGGGAACATTTCAGCAATGTGTGTCCCTGTTTCATGGGTGGAACACAGCAGACGGGACCACCAGCTAATACCAGTTACCATAGATCAGAGCAGGGGTCAAAACTGTGTCATACAGGTGACACATTTGTGGGACTTCATTGGCAAGTTATACAGAAGATAAGGCATGAAAGAGAGCTGGAAGGAAGATCTTTTGAGAAAATTATGCTTTTAAGGGTATCCTCTGAGTTTATGCAGTACGTAAGGTCCAAGAGATACTGACGAGTGGAAAGAGAATGTTTTCCATTAAGCTATCACCACCTGGTCTGTGAGCTGAATGAGGTTGTACAAAATGTATATCTTATCAGATCAATAATGGTGAGAGTAATGTGTGTGCAGGGGGAAATGCGTTAGGACTGCAGAGATGACCTGAGTTCTGGTAATGCCTAATTCCAGTGGGCCTGACATCCCAGCCTTCCATTTTGTATTGTTTTAACATAACAGTGAGAAGAAACATGAGTTCTCACCTGACCCATGAGGCTTCTGGCCAGCACTTTATTTCCATCCTTCATCATCATGTTGGTGAATTTACTGTAAACACAAAGCCAAATGCAATCTGATTTAAATTCTGATTTTATCAGCCTCAGAAATAAGCCCCCCCAGCTTTGTGTTGTTCCCATGGTTAAGTTTGGGTGCTGCTAGATCTGCTGTAATTATCTCTAATCACTGTCACTCAATGGACTGGCTTTGTGGGAAAAGATTAACCCAGAATAAAGGGATTGTGCTGTAACAGAAGGCAACGTGCAGCACAGCAAGTAAAGGCTGAGGAGGACAGCACAGCTCCCAAGCATTTTGGCTCCATGGGACCTAGTTGTAACGGAGGAGGAGATGATGCTTTCTCTGACCTGATCATAGGGTCGCTGAACACAGAGCTGGAGAGAGTGGGAGGAGCAGCTTTTATGGGTCGAACAGCCTTAAGCTCCTGTTTTTCCTTTTCCTCCTCAGACAGCTCCTCCCAAGGTTTCCGATACAATTCCTTGTTCACTTCTGGCTCTAAGAAACTGGGGTTGTAGCGACTCCATCTCACCTGCGTCAGCCTGCAAAGAACAAGAGGAGAAGGAGGGCTGTAAACTGACGCGCTCCGTATGTCGTGACAGGGACGTGGACAGACGTGAACATGTCTCAGAAGGACACGGTAGACCTGAGAGCCGTCTCTGCCTTCCTCTCCATCGCTGCTTCTCTACTGCAGCGCAGCCAGAGGCACAAGTCAACAACAAGGCCCACAGTTTTGCTGCAGAACTACGAGGCAACCCCCAGGCCAAAGAGAGGGGTCAGAAGGGGGGTCCCAGGGCACAGCCCCGGGGCTGCAGGCCGGCAGGGCCACCCTCATCTTCCTCCCAGAGCCTGCCTGTACCCACGGACAAGCACCCGAGGGCCGAACGGCCCACAGGCCTGACACCGTGAGGTCCCAGGTTGTGGGTGGCTTAAATAAATCCTATTGTGTGCTCGTGGGCGTGGGGCGAGTACCTTGAACAGGAATTTTATTAATTTTTCGCAGCCGGAGGCAGCATTTTGGTGTTTTGGAGTGGAGTAAGGGGAGCACCGAGATCCCTACGCCGCTCCGACACACTGGGTCAGCACACGGACCCGTGACCGACCCCACACGCAGAGGCCGGGTTCCCCGAGCCCCGCAGACAGCCCACGCGAGACCACGGCGGCGTCACGCGCGAGAACAGAAAACGGCTCAGCCGTGTGCGGCCCGGCCTGAGGCACGCCCCACCGCTTGTCCCTGGGTCTCTGGGTGAAGCGCACACCG